TTTCACTGTGTGTATTAAAAATCAAACGAAAATGGCGGGTGCAGGCTTGAAAACACAGAATTCAGGAGAGGAAGAACTGGCATGATTACATCTGGCATGTGCATTTCATCTCACCAGCCCTGGGGCTTCAGCTTGACACTGCTGTTGATTTTGGTGGCCGTGGATAAAGAATTCTGTTCTGAAAAGGACAGTACGGACCATGGAGACCCTACCCACATCATATGCACTACATTTTGTTAATCATGAATGCGTGGCTTAATTCCATAGTGTTTTATTAAAGTCCCTGTGCAACATCCCCTTCAGCTAGCTACTACCATAACTTTCCGCGATCGTTCTACCTTCCGATGTGAAAATCGGTCAATCCTGATAAGTACTGATTGATTATCACATCGGGAGGTAGAATGATCGCTGAAAATCAATCCTGATAAGGATTTTTGTTGGGATATTTTCTCTGTTCTGTTATCAGCTTGCTTTTAAAAAGCTTCGATCGATAGTTTTGCTTGCGCGTGGTTGCTGTTGGCACTTGCTACCACCCAAGATACTTCCGATGCCTTTGCCTCTCACAGGGATTGAATACAGCATACAGGCAAGAATGGTTTGTGTACATCAACTTAATTGTTTTTTTTTAGGCATTTCGGAGGATGAGCGTGTCTTGGAGCGTGCGCATCGCATGTGCGAATTGGCCGTGTCACGAAAGGGGTCATTTTTGCATCGATTGAGCAAATTTCTTGTCGCAGTTGTGAAATCGAAAAAAAGCACTTGCTCGGAAGTGCTTCGCTCGGCAGCAATATTAGCTTTATCAAAATTCATGCTTTTAAGGTATGTAATTTTTCTGTACTTTTTTGAAACGACTTTGAAATATGCTTCTTTGAAAAATGATGAATTTTTGATTTGCTTTACCATAAGCTTTCATTTTTATGTTTATTTTGTGATGCTTGAGAATTAATTAGCAAATGAAAATGAATTAGTGATCAGCGTAAAATTCTTTTTTTTTTGATTCTTAAGGATTACCATGCTTTGATTAACACTCACTTTGCCATTGTTCTCATCCCTTCTTTGATGTTGTAGCCAAAAATTTCTCCATTCTTCTCTGTTTTGTGCTTACTGCGTCCTAATAAGCTTCACGCAGACGTACAACCTAATCCTTCTTTCTCATTGACGGTCTTCCGTATTGCCAATTACGTTGCGGTTAACAATCAACGGGTTGTTCTGCGCATCTGTTATTTCTCATTAATTTTGAAAATTTTTTATTTTTTCAAAAACTGTATCTTTCAATAGGATTTTTTTGCATAGATTTTCATTTCAGCATGAAGACATGTTTGCGCTATATGCCGTTGTTTTTGGATTGCTTCAAGAATTCGCCAAGTTCGGAATGCCGTAGCAATTTAATGGTTGCAGTTGGTGATTTGTGTTTCCGCTTTCCGAACGTGATTGAGAAATACAGTGAGGATCTCTACCATGGGTTCGTCCTCTTTTTTTGCCATGTAATACCAGTTGCCAGTTGCATCGATGGCGTGACAACGGACGTCGATGACATACAGATGCTCAAGTATTCAAATAAATAGTACCAGGAATACCAGAACTGCCTAGACAGTTGGTGTGCAGGTCATATGTTAGTGATGTTACTATGGTGCTTTGTTAAATTAGACGCAGCGGTACCAAATTGTTCGATTCTAAGCTACATCGTACTTCTCCTGCCACCCTCCCTCCTCGCTCACTCCTCCCTATGTTCGATGTATGTGCGCCACCTCTTCGAAAACTGCCATTATGGTAAAACGCTGTTGCATAGGTGCTAATTATTGTGCACGATGTCACCAGTTTGATTTATACAGTTATTTAGATCAGTGAAAATCGCGCACAAGACATTTTTTGGGACGCTGGTTCGTTTCTATAACTTGGCGGTACTTAGAATGTCAAGGAATGAAATCTTCTTCGGCTTACTTCTCAAGCTATCCTAGCAAAAGAAGCTTTTACCAGACGGGATTTCACTTGGCTAGACGCTCCTGCTTGG